CGTACATACGATGCTCCCTCGGAATAGAAGGACATACCATTCCTACCTACGTATCATAATATACTATTCATATATATGTATCATACGATCCCTCAGTTGAGGATCGTGAGAGGTCTAAGATATTATTCGAGAATACCTCACGAAGAATAGAGATGTCACGAGTCCGGAATAGAGAACCTCCATGTAGATTCCCTACCAGGTCTACATGAGGTTCTGATCGGAACTTCGGAATTCTCGTGAACGCGCTTGGTATTCTACGGATAATTCTAATCTTATAATTTCAATTTTCATACACACTTAACACCTACTAAGAGTACACGTAATCTCGTGCATTCTGCGAGCACGATCTAGCTAGTATCAGTTTTCATAGCTCTATGCTCAAAGCAGTGTTTGGGTGCTTATCTACTCCCATTCTTGCCTTGCAGCCTGTAGTACTAGTAGTACTAGTAACCTTCCGTGTACTCGTCCTTGACAGTGGCGGTACCATGTGCCTTAGTCATGAGTGTTGCCTCCCTTCAGGCACAATGCCCAGCAAAGACTTCAGATGCAATGTAACTGCTCTCACAGTAACCACCACAACAGCCCAAGGAAGCTTTGAAATCACACATGCGCTTGCCCAAGTTTGGAAATGGGGAATAAATGCAAGACTGTTTAATGCACCTTGTAACTATGACATGATACTTGGAATCGACTTCCTCAGAATGGCTGAAATAGATCTCTTCTTTACTAAACAGACCAATTGGTGGCTCAATAGATCCATTGAGATGAGACCACCAGATCACTTCAATGATCCCTGAAACATAGCAGACACTTTGTGGCTGGCAGAAGACGATGATGAACTACTAGATGGAGGATTCCTAGAGTTCCATCTTCCATCTGGCCAGACAGTCAAGAACTTTCTGGCAGGACGCCAGTCTCTTGGTGCTAACATCACACAGATTCTTGACACCAAATACCAAGAAGTCACTGTGGAGCAAGTAGCTTCTCAACAGGAACACATTTCCAAGCCTCAATGCCAGGCCTTTAAAGATGTACTGGCCAAATACCAAGTTTTATTGGATGGCAAGCTGGGAAGATACCGACATGAAAAGATCCATGTTGATCTGATCCCAGGCACACAGCTGGTTTGAAAGAAACCCTATCTGGCTCCCTATAGACGTAGGGAGGTATTCAAGAAGGAATGGCAACATCTAGTGGATGAGGGTGTTATAGCACTGACAATTGATTCCAAATGGGGATTCCCCTTCATTCATCATACCTAGTAAAACAGATGGCAGGGATTGATGGCTAGTGGATCTAAGTGAGCTGAACAAGCTGGTTAGAAGACCAAAGTTCTCTCTACCTACTATGATCCCTGACATTATGAACAGAAGAAGAGGCTATGACTAGTTTACCAAAATAGATCTATTGATGATGTTCCACTGTTTTGAGTTAGATGAGTACTAGAGCCAAAAGATTTGCACCCTAACTACTGAACACAGCAAATATTGATGCCTCCAACTGCCTATGGGGTTGAAATCATCACCTCATTATGCTCAGGATTTTATCACTAAGATCCTCCATGGTCTAGACGTGGAGGTTTACATCTGAGGATCACATGGTGCTACTTGATTCAATCCTGGAAGGCCTAGCATCCAATGGTATGAAGTACAACCCACTCAAATGTGAGTGGGCTGTTCAGGAGTCAGATTTCCTAGGCTATTGGATTAGTACTAGCCATGGCAGAAGAAAGTTGGTGGGATTCTCAAGATGGGAACCCCAAAGAACTAAGAGCAGATTTGGTCCTTTCTTGGTGCAGTCAACCACTACAAATTAATGTGGCCCTGGAGGTCTCATCTAGTACTGGCTCCACTCACAGCCCTGGTAGGTTCCAGTCCTTATGTTTGGATAGTACTTGCTAGTGACAAAGTGTTCAAGGAGTGATATGAAGGCGCAGAAGGCTTTGTTAGCTCATGATGCAATCAACATCTTTCCAGATTTGAATTTGCCCTTTGATATCTACACTGATGCCTCTGATTACCAGCTTGGCACAGCCATTTTGTAGACTCAGCAACCATCTGGTGCCAAACAACCAATTGCCTAGTATTGGTCTAAGAAGCTACTAGACAAGGCTCCTCAGCTCAACTACTAGTATTCTACCATGGAGAAGGAGGTGCAAGCTGTGATTTTGTGTTTTTGAGAGTATCAGAATATGTTGCATTGTTGTCAACTCAATATCTACACAAACCATAAGAATCCTACCTCAGGCAAGGGTTCTCAGATGGCACCTTGTCATAGAGGATTTTGATATCACGACATGGAGATACATCATACCAGGCAAGGGCAATGTCCTTGCAGATTGTTTTTCCATAGTGCCCAGGATGTCTCCATGCACTGTGTGGATGAAGAAAGGAAATGTATGAGCAACAGCATGGTGTAATAGTCAACTTCAAGGAGCTCACTGCACCAGTGGTCACTGCAGGAGATGTCTTCTTCCTAGAGCAAGAGCTACACGAGTCTCTCTTAAACCTTCCCCTGGTTATAGAAACAGACATTCCATTAACTTGGGAGTCTATCCATGCACATCGGCTGAATGATCCTCAATGTCAACTCAGACACAGGATGAATCCAGAGGTTTACTATTAAAAACAAACCCCAGGCTCATTTGAACTACTAACAAAATGCAGCAGTAAGCCAAGGAACAAAGAAGACCCAGACGATACAGGAGCGGTGCAACCGAATGAATACCATTGGGTGATCTATCTCCCTGTTGGATTGGTGCAACACACCCTCAGATAGTACCACTTATTACTAGGTCATTGTGGAGCCACCAGGCTCTAGAAAAACCTTGTGGTACCTCCTCCATTGACCTGGTGGCTATTCGCATCTCGTGGAGGCATCACAGCCCCCCCCCCCCNCCCCCCCCCCCTGCTGCCTTTTGCGAGCCGGTGGAAAACACCCTGTTGCTTGTTGTTGCGCTGTTACCATTTGCTTGTTGTTGTTGTTGCTACTGCTTCTGCTTTTCTATAGTACTTGCTTGTTTTTGCTGTTTTGCTGTAGCCGTACAAGGATTTTAGGCAGCTACTACTAGTAGTAGTAACAGTTGAGTTATTTTGTGAGCTAATTTTTTAGCGAAACTCACCTCTCCTAAAAGAGGGAGTTGTTGCAAAATGGTTGCATTCTCTGTATAAAATGCTCTGTCTTAAGCAACTAAAAGAGGTACGGATGCAACCACAACAGAAAAGCTAATACAGTTGCTGGTGTGTAGAATTCTTACCACAAAATATGTAGCACATGTAAGTACAGAGGTAAATGGCGTAGAATTAAGTAGTGTGTTGTAGCCTATGTAAAATCCTATGTACTTTAAGTACCAGGGGACTCGTCCGACCGTTTTGAGAAAGAACTCGGTTGCAAAAATTTAAAATTTGGTACCCGTATCGTACTATTGGTATTATCGTACTATTAGTATTATTTTGTCTTGCGTCGACGGCATTCGTGGGCACGCAACGTCGTTCACCAACCGACACCACTGCGCTAGACTGAATACGCAGCACCACCAACCACAAACCGCGAGCCACACTGACAGCCACAATGAGCGAAGAAACCGCCGCAGCCGCAACAGCAACCCCGCCCGCCGCCGCGGACGAGGACAACGAGGAGGAAGACCTCGAGAAGCTTCAAAAGGAAATCGAGCGCATGGAGGCCGAGGCCGCCCGGATCACCAGGGAAACGGACGACCTGGAAAAGAAAAAAGAACCCGGGGAGGCATCCGCGTCCACCCCCGGCGCCAATGGCGGAGGCGGTGATACGGGAGGAAGCGAGGCCGACAAGGGGGAGGGTGGAAGCCGGGAGGCGACCTCCATCTACGTCGGGCAGGTCGACTACAGCACGACCCCCGAGGAACTCCTCGGCCACTTTGAGGCCTGTGGGACGGTCGAGCGGGTGACTATCGTCTGCAACAAGTACACGGGAAAACCGAAGGGTGCGTCAACCTGCCTTGTGTTGTCACGTCTTGTCTTGTCACGTCTTGTCTTGTCTTGCCTCGCGTTGTGCTGTGTTGTGTTGTGCTGTGCTGTGCTGTGCTGTGCTGTGTTGTGTTGTGTTGTGTTTGCGCTTGTGCGAAATGCAACCATCGCTGAAAATCTCACCCATTAAATCACGCGCTAATTCACCCACCACAGGTTATGCTTACCTGGAGTTTCAGGTATGATTTAGAGATTATTGACTGACTGGTTGGTGGACCGGCGACAACGAACTTCAAAAAGTGGCGTGGATCTCAAAAAGAGGGAACTAATTATGGAATCGGGAACATTGATTCCATCGATGAAGCGCCAAGTCGGAGAATCCGTGCCGTACCGCGTTGTCTGTTTCTGTCCCTGCTCGTCCCCCGTAAACCACGGTGCTTGCTTGGATCCGAGCAATCCAATCTGTTGCTGCCGTTCACCATCCATGTGCTCCGTTCTTGTGTGTTGGGGTGTTTATTTCTTTTGTTTTGTTCCCTCGCTTTCGACAATTCGTTTCCTCGAAATTAACTCTCTCCTTTTGCCATGGCATGCGTGGTGTGTGTTTGTTACTATTTCTCTTTTTACTTGTTTGTTCCCCGCAACTACCGACACGTTGCGACCCGATTCGATACATGACAAACCACCAACCACAAACACAACAACCACCACCGCCAGACGGAGGCAGCGGTCGAGAACGCTACCAAGCTGGACGGGTCGGAGTTCAAGGGACGGAACCTCAAGGTCATGCCGAAGCGCGTCAACGTGGCGGGATACCACTACCAGCAGGGAGGCGACGACGGCGGGGGCCGGGGAGGAGGACGTGGCTACGCCGGCAGGGGAGGCTACCGGGGCGGCCGCGGAGGACGGGGCCGGGGCGGATACCGCGGAGGCTACCGGGGAGGACGGGGCGGCCGGGGGCGTGGCTACCATCCCTACTACTAGGCACTGTTTCATTCGGACGAATCGAATGGAATCGAATCGAATCAGGCGGCATTTGCTAGGAACAAGGTAAGTCAAGCAAGGCCAGGCCAGGCCTGGCCAAGAATTTGCAGGTGGCTTCTCGACATTTTCTGCGGATGGAAAGCGAAACACACACAGAAATCTTGACCAAACAGCAACAATTCTATGGTACACCCCAAAAAAGAATGACAAAAAAGACGAAACGAAAGGAAAAAATCGAAATAAAAAGAGTAAAAATTCACTGAAAAAAACAGTAACAACAAAAACCAATAAAAAAGCATTTTCCAAGAAAAGCTATTATATTAGTTACCAGTTCACACGTAACGCTGCTCATTTTGTACTTCATACAGAGAAATCGATAGTTGTTTACATTATGCTGCACGTACATTATTTATTTATCACTTCTAGGACAATAAAAGGAAGGGAAGGAAGGGCGAGCTGTGCACAGTTGCGGTTAAAATATGGTTGGATATTGTTTCAGGACCAGGCGGGAGACAAAGCCACGGAGGGAATAGAAAGAATGATCCGATCCGATCGAATCGAATCGATCCTCGTTTGCTGTGCTAGGGAATATTGGTTTGCACAGTGGTTTCGAGGTCCTCGTACTCCCTCGCGATCTCGTCCATGACACTCTGACTGTCGTCGGTGATCTGGAAGAAGGGTCTGGGGTAGTTCGATCGGTACCTCCTCGCCGCTCCTGCCATGCCGTGTGGGGCACAGTGAATGTCGCTCTCCATGCTGCAGGCCGCGCTGACGAGGCGGAGTGTGTCGGAAGCAATCTGATGCGTCTTGCAGCAATCGCCGTCGCCCTCCGCTCCGGCCCCGTGCTCGTCGGCCCCGGCAATCGTGTCGTGGAAGGCCATGAGAAACCTGGTAATGTGCATCAGGTAGCGACCGGTGGAGAGGAGGGGATACATGTTGGTCGACCCTCTGACCGCGCGGTCGATGAGAGCCGCCGTGTCGTTGCAGACACCCAGAACCCCGTAGCCGCCAAAGGGGAGGTCCATGTCGGTCCCGATCCGGTTGAAGGTGCACCCCATGATCCCGGACATGCGCACCGCCGCCAGTGCCTGTTCTCTGGTGTAAGGGTCGCAGGTTGACACCCGCTCGATCCACGGAACGTCGGGGTTGTGGTTCGATTGCCAGCCGCACATGCCCTCGATGGCCATGTAGAACTGTATGTCGCATTTTCGAGGCTCGCCGGTGTCCTTGTTGTTCCCGACGAGCGCCCCCTCGATGGAGAGATCGATGCCCCCGTGCAGGGGATGGAAGTAGGCCGGTCTCCGGTGGCTGCTCTCGTATCCCGTCCGGAAGAAAAAGGCCAGGGGAATATTCGTCCAGCTTCCGTCCTTTTCCTTGACGCAGGCGGCGAGGCCAAAAGTAGTAATCGTGGACCGGGGGCAGACCTCGATCGAGTGCCCCGTGTCATACAGCACTTCGACGAACTGATCGGGGAAGACGCAGTTTTTCCCGTCCATTTGAACCACGAAGTACGGCTCCCCGCTGTCGTCGTCGATGTTGTCGGTTTTCTTGGTCTTGCGGAGTTCGTAATTATAGGAGAGTTTTGTCAACAAAACGGCAAAGAGTCGGTTGCAGAGAACCTCTCGCTTGGTGTGGGTAACCTTGGCGTCTCCCCATCCCATGTGCAGGTCGGGCAATATCGTGTTGTTAATGGGGACTGGCTCTGGGTGGGATCGATCGCTGGGATCGTAGGTGGCCCCGGACCCACGGATCCGATCTTCCATTCCTGCTATGGCTTTTTCGAAATGCTCTTCGACCACGAATGGGTTGGGAACGAGGACCGGTGGTTGTTCTGTTCCCTCGTCCCCCGAGGTGATTGGTGTGTCATAGGTAGGATTGTAGCCAATTTCTCCCTTCTGCATCCATTGCAGAGGCGACAAACTCATCTGGTTTCCATCGGTCAATTTCTGATTCAGGTTGACGAAACTTTACGTAGACACCATATCGTCGTCAAACAGATTTGAGGGTTGGTTGATAGATCGTTGTTTGGACGGATTAATCGATTGATTGGATCGTTCAAGCAATGAGCAGTTGTTGGTAATATAATTTGAGCTGCTTTCATGGTTTCGAGTTGTTTCAGTTTGCCGAGTGGTTTGGTTTCGTGGTCAAGCATCAAGCAACCGACGCCAACTCACTTACCTGATGACTTCGGACACATTCAATGGCATCGCCGCCCGGTCTTCGGTCGGGTCCCAGTCCTCCGTGTGCCTGGAATCCACTAGAATCTGCGCCATGATGTAATGAACAATCTTCGACGAAACGGCGCCTATGATGGACTCCGCCTGTCCCGACCCCATCACGGGCAAGAACACCGCGCCCATGGTTTCTCCTAGAGTTTTCATCAGCAGTGCCGCCATGAGAACGTAGAGTTCTCGTTCCAGCGCCTGGACGAGCCTAGAGTTGCTCTCTTTTTCCGTCGCTTCGTTCTTGTCACCATCGCTTCTGCTCTTGTCGTCCGTCTTCTCGGTAATGAATCGAAGCGTGCTCAGGTACTGTCCAAGACTCTTCAGCTGCCACGAGGACGAGTGCTCTCTGACAAAATCGGGGTGCAACTCAAGGATCTTAATTGCTTTCGTAGACTTCGAATCGGGGTCTCGGTAGACAAGACTCCTGGCGAGCTTTGATTTGAATTCCTCCTTGTGCTTCTCGATTGACCTCCAATATAACAGCAGAGCCGTGGTGGTCGTGATCACCCCGATAGCGGTCGCTCCATTCAGTACCGTCAGTGGGATATCGACGGTGAATCTCTTGATGGATGCAATGAAGGACATGGCGTTGTTGTAATTGTATGGTGCTATCGTATCACGAGTTCAGTGCAATTGAATTCAATCTGGACAGCGGGCTTCTAGAATCTTCCTACTTGTTCCCATTTTATATTATTATCATTCTTCTTTTTAGCAGATGTAACTCATAGTTTTTACAAAGAACAAAAGCTGTTTCTTGCAGGAAACAGCCTCCATAACGAGTCCCCTGATAGGTTACCATATCCCCTAGGTCTACCAGTATAGGATGCGTTGGTGTGTTAAGCCGGTGCTAGGGGAAACTGCAAAATCCTACCCCATCTGCCACATGGATGAGGAACCCTACTACTAATAACATGTTAGGATTTAGGGTATCTCCCCTGGCAGCAAAAGGAAGCAGCAGTTGCTCTGTATTACTAGCAGCACACCAGCTAGACAGTACTAGCTGCCTTAGGCCAAAGGCAAGAGGGAGGGAGCAAAGTGAGGGTTGGGAATAGAGGATGAGGCGGACGGCTGTGTGTGAAGGTGTGGCAGGGAGGCTTTCATCCAGGAGGAAGGAGTTTGTGCCGTTGTTGAATGAGGGACGCTAGGGGCTGAAAAAGAGGGACGGACTGCTGGTGGAGATGATACACCATGACATCACTGTGCCATTTTGTGAGGACTTTGATGATGTTGGTGCCACAACGTCCTTTAAGGAAAGCCATGGCGCCCCCAACACATAGGGACCCAGCACTGAGTGATTGCGGCATGTTGCAATTTTGCTGCTTGCCAGCAAATTGTGGATGGTGAGATGTGCAGAAAAGCAGCTTGCAAGCTTTTTGGAACTGTTGCCATGTTATCATACAGGTTGAGCGTAGTCCGTTTGCATACATCTGCAGCTTGGGCCAGGATATCCTTTTGCGCTACAGATCTGGCTAGTTCCAGGTCACTATTTGTAATAGTGACTGCTGGGTTATCAAAGGAAACCAGCTCCCATTTGAATAAATTGCATGTGGATATTAAAGATACTGTTAGTGTAGTATTTATCAATAATACATGCATGCAAATAGTATGATCACAGATCAGTCACAACTCATTTGTAATCATATAAGTTGTAGATCTAACCACACACATGATTCTGGCCTTCAACTGGTTATCAGTCAGGGTGGCTGCTGCAGCTGTTAGTGCGGCTGTTTTGGGCTCAGAATGTGTGGGAACTGTGATTAAACCCTGGGGGTCTCAATGGATAACCTTTTCCTCCATACAGAGTGTCAGGTCTGCTTCTGTGCAGAAAAGTGGACCAGGCTCAGTGTGTGCTGTTAGGCACACTTGAAGATCTTTTTCCTTTTTCCACATCCGTACCTTATGGGTTGAGGTGATACGACTAAAGAAAATTACAAAAAGAAAATAGAAGTACTGCTGTAGCTACTATCAGGCAGTCCGTAAAACTGTTCGCCATGTCTTCTGAATGAGTCAGGGGTCACAATTGACAACTAAGTGTTCATGCACAGAAACCTTCTTGAGAAAAGAGCCATAGCCTGTTGTGACTGAAAATGGAGGAGAAAATTTGTGTACTTTTTGTCATACAAGTTTACCCATGTATTATCTCATTGAAATCTTAAAATAACATATTTGGGTTCCAACCTCCATTTGATTTGCAGCCTGAATGCCAAACATCACCAAAGGAATCTTCAAGGGCAACAGGAACTCTTAGTTGTCTTCATGTATTGGCGTGGTGAATAAGCTGCACTCACCGTGGAAGGAGATTTTAATTTTACAAATGACCTAGAACTGCATGAGATTGCATGCGCTTCGTAATGACTTGAAAAATATCAGCGACTTCTTTTGAAGTGCAGCTGCATGTTCTTTTGTTGCCTAGCACAGTTAGGCCCCTGCAAGTACAATGATCACCGTTCATTCACGAATGCGCGCTCTCGCAATTCATTCGAAGTGATCTCCCCGGTGTCTTCCACCATCGTGTGAAACGCCCCACCATTTTTCCTTAAAAGGTCAGCAGGCGACCCAAATTCCAGTACTTTACCTTTGCCCAACACCAAAATGTAATCGTAATCTATGACAGTGTCCAGACGGTGAGCGACGGCAATAATCGTAGCGTTGCCGAAAGATTCGTGCAGAGATTCGTGAAGCATTTGATCAGTCCGCCTATCGACTGACGCGGTTGCCTCGTCAAGGATCAGGATCTTGTTCTTGCTAAGGATGGCGCGGGCAAGGCAAAGCAGCTGTCGCTGTCCAACACTAAAGTTGGATCCTCCTTCGGTCACAACGGAGTCGATTCCTTTTGGCAGTTCGGCAATGACTTCGCCCAGGTGAGCACTTTTCAGCGCTTTGTAGATTTCTTCTTCGGAATGCAAGCCAAATACGTCAAGGTTCTCTCGAACTGTGCATCCACTGAACAAAGTTGGATGCTGCGGAATGACAGATATAGAAGTACGTATGCGGTGGAGTCCAACCTCGGCGATATTGAAACCATCCACATTGATTTGTCCATCTTCGGCTTCCAATAGACGAAATAATGCTTGGACGATAGTTGATTTGCCACTACCTGTTCTTCCTACGACGCCAATCCTAGAACCGCTAGGCACCGAAAATGTAACTCCGTCCAATGCCAAAGGCAAAGAAGGCCTATACCGAACGGCAAGATCCTTTACAGTTATCGCACCTTCCATCGGCCAAAATTCGTCCAGGTTATTGTCACTTTCTAATTCAAGCGGGGCCTCAGGCTCTAGTTTTCCAAATCCTAAGACTCGTTCAACACCAACCATTTGGTTCACTACCTCGGCACTCTGTCGAATGCACCATTGGAAGGCAGAACATAACTGCAACAGCATTGAGATGGATAATCCCAAGATAGCAGGATCAACAGTGAACCATCCTTGGGTTTGGAAAAATACTGAGAAAAAGCTGTAAAAGAATGGAACGAATATGTATTGTGTTGGCACGGTGGATGACCGAAAAATGAAATTGCTTGGCAATCAACAATCGTGCATCTGATCCGAAGTGAGTTTGAGCAACACAAAAAAAAACACAGGAAACCAATCACATACMATACAGAAGACATCAGCAAGAATGCAAGCGCATCCATCCGAAAACCAACCCATCGCTTCAGTAAAATCGAATTGCCAAAAGTGGATCATGAAGTGAGAGATATTTCTGCAATTATTCGAAACAAACCTAACAAGCATTTTCATCCTAGACGACTTGAAAGAAACATACTGATAATGAAGTAAAGGAAAAGAAGGCTCTGGTGTGCGAATCGTGTACTTCCTCGAACTTTTTGGTGAAATAGTCCCCCGCTTCATTCGCTCGTATAGTACCGATGCCGCTAAGCGACTCGTTCATCATGGCAAAAATTGGGGATCGAGCTACGCCCTCGAGGCGTTTGAGTTCTCGTGAACTTGTGACGAAAATCCGCCGCATAACAATAAAGTAATAAATGAGGGGCGGCATCACCAAGAGTACAAAGGGGAGTGTGATCAGTGTCGTAAACACAGCCCCAATAACCATAAAGAAAATCACCGAAAAATCGAAAAGCGTTTGAGGCAACAAGTCGTCATTGGTCCCTACATCAGCAGAGAATCGATTGAGTATTCTCCCAGTTCTGTAGGCGATCGACAAGGAGAAGATTTAAAAAACACAAAAACGTTCAGACGAGAGCAAGTTTTCGCTGGACCTGCAATAAGTTAATCCGATTTTTCGATCAGAATCAAAGTCATTGATGGTTTCAAACTTACGGGTTGGTATCGAAAAATGAAATTTTGGCTCTCAGCACCGCCTTGGCCATATCGTCATGCAGATTCTTGGATGCCTTGATAGTCATAAAAAAAGAAAGAAAGGCCCGGAATGTCGATAAAAGGATCGCCATGCAAACCTGTCCAATGATCAGACCCACAATATTCCAAGACCGTTGCTCTTGCGGAGGCAGTTCGGCCCACAATCCCATGGTGATGATTGTCCAGAGAGCGACGCCCTGCGTTGTACAAAAAGTGAACAGCAGGAACGCCGCCACCGGCCATCCGCCCATGGCGTAAATATAATTCTTGTAAGTCTCAAATTCTACAACACCGCGATTCGTCCCTTCTTTGGATTCTTCTTTCGCTGCGGTGTTGCCAGCACTCTTCTCTACTTCTACTTCTATGTTTCCGATCTCGTCGTTGCTTGTCTTTACAACGCTCTCTCGAGCATCCCTAATTGGCGTTCGCATTTGCTCTTCCGCATCATCCTCGCCCAACTGAGATTTGTTAATCGAGGTGTCATCAATGTCGGCGGCCTCGTGAATCGACAATTTTCCTCCGGCTGCGTCGAGGCATTCCGCATAGGACCCTCTGCACCCAATGCGGCCATCCACCATCAGAACGCACCGATAGTTATGCACATATTGGTGCTGGTGAGTAGCCAGCAACACACATATTCCTTGATTGACACAAAGCCCCAGCAGGGCCTCTTGAAAAATCTGTCGGCCGACCTTGGCATCGACGGCCGAGAGTGGGTCATCGGCCACGAGCACCTCGGCATCCCGGTAGATGGCACGTGCCAGGCCGATTCGGGCCCGCTGACCACCGCTGCACTGAACACCGCGATCCCCCACAATGGTGGAATCCCCGTCCCGAAAGAGAGAAAAGTCCATCCGCAACCCACATGCGTCCACAACTTTGTCGTACCATTCTTGCCGAAAGGAGAGTCCCATTGTAATATTCTCTCGGACGGTACCGTCCATGATCCATGGATCCTGGGCTGCGTATGATATTTTCTGTCTGCTACTGTTAGACGTTTGGTAGCTCCCTTCTTCGCTTATGAATGAGATGCTCCCGCGATAGGCAGGCAATTCACCAACCACTGCTTGCAAGAGTGCGGATTTTCCAGATCCGACCGTTCCAATGACACACGTTAGTCGACCTCGTTCTAGATCCAATGAAATATCGGAAAGAGCAGAAACGAGACCCGAATCTATAGCTGATTCCGTTTCTTCCTCTTTCTCGCTGCTAGATGTCGATGCCGGTTTGACCATATCAAGCTCTGGTCCCGTTGGCGAGACTTTTTCGTCGCTTCTGGAGTCGCATGCCTTCACCTGGTTCCAATAGCAGTCCACATTCGACAAGGAAATGGCGATTTTCTGGTCGTTTGGTTCCGAGTCAGTGCTGCTTGCGATAAGATCGTCGGCACCTTTTGGGCCTCTATCCATTTTTCCTTCCCCCGAGAGCAAATTAGCAACGCATTTACTGGTGTTTCCCGCGGGCCGCTCGGGAAATTCCAAAAACTTTTGGATCCTAGAGATGCTTACGTAAACCTCGCTGACGCCCATGACGCCGAGGGACACATGCTTGGTCAGCTCGAGCTGCAAGATATTGACCAGTGTGAAGACCGTGTAGACGTTTCCGGGAGAAAGGGTTCCATCGAAAACTCCAACGTGCATCAAAAAGATGACCAGCGACACCACAATATTGCAGGCAAAGAACAACGCTTCGTTCAGGGCCTTTAGGTTGGTTGCCCGGATGATCTGGGCAACTTCTCTGTGTCGGCCCTTCGAGATGCGATCAAAAAACCGGTATTCGTACCCGCTCATTTTCATCACCCGGGCCCCCTGAACAGCCTGCGAGACAAAGTTTACGCGCTGGTCGGTAATGGCGGCGATCTTGGACCGCAAAAAGGCAAAGCGATTCGACAAATAGAATTGAAAGGGGACAAACCCAAAAATAAGGAGGCAAAAGCCGACCGCAAAGGCCGGGCCCATCTGAAACCACCCGACTACCAGAATAGCTATTGCCTGGAGGGGACTCCAGATCAGGTAACTGATGAAAAGGGATGCCAGCAGGAACCGTTCCACGTCGTTGGAGGCCAGGTTCATGATCCGGCCCGAGTTCGCGTTCGTCTCCTGGTGGGTGCTGCTTAGTTTCAGACACTTCCCGTAGATCGCGCCTACGCAGCTCACACGAAGCTGCATTCCCTTCCTCCAGGTGACGAAGAAGATGTGGTCTTCGTGGAGCGATGACGACGGCGACAGTAAATAAATCAGCAAAGAACGACCGATGTACAAAAACGTCAGTTGTGACACAAAGCAAAGGGATCGCTTAATAATTCAATTGCTGCGTTCAATGCGGCACCACAAATGCTGCTTCAAAGTTCTCGCTTGAAATTTCACAATCCGATGCACCTGAACCAGGAAACAAAACGTCGACTTGTGCCAGAGACTCTCAACCATTCTCGACTTCGCAAACTTACGGTGTTCGAACAAAACCACAATCCCACAGGCTACAATCACCCCCGCAAATATGTATCCGGAGGTGTTTGCCCCGCTCACCTCGAAGGACTCGATAAGTTTTCCAAGGAATAAGGCCTGGACAATCTTGGCGGTCGAGGAGAGAAACATGCACGGCTGGATGTACCACATGGAATGGAAAAAATCCCTCAGAATGGCGCGGTGGAGGGAGGGTTTCAGGGGTGGTTGTTGGCTGCTGCCGCTTGTTCGGCATTGGTTCTTTTTCCGACACCGTTCCTTTTCGCGATCCCACAGCTCCATGAGGTATTCCCTATTGTACCGCGAGGTATCCTTCGGAAGGATTTCCGGGAGGTCGATTTCCTCGAGCGGTCGTTCAAGCCCGAGCTTGAGCAGAGGATATGGCCAGCGAAAGATCACCCTGGACCACCACGGGGCGCTGGCCATCATGTTGGCCGGGCGGGATTCTGTTCCGATGCGATCATTGTCACCGTCGCTTCTGGTGGGATGGAGAGGATCCTTGCTCTCGTTGTCCATGTTATCGTTCCTTGCCCGTTCCCGTTTTCTTCCGTTACTGTCGCTGATGTCGGTGTCGCTCTTCTCTTTCTTGATTTCTGCGTAATTGCACATGACATAGAAGGCACAAGGGTTGGTTTCGAGCGACAAGCGTCCTCTCACGGCGTGTGTGTCTGTATTGAACTGACTGGAGCTTCTATTTTAGTGTCGTTGTTTCGGCAAGGATTGGAACCAGAATTAATTTGACAGCTCTGCTTCTGGGCTCCGCTTTTCCTGGTTCTCAACAGCACGCTACACCGTGCTTCTTTTTTCTTGGGGGATTATTGTTGTTTGTCGCAATTTATGTTGTGGATATATCTATTTCTGTTTCTGTTTCCGGTATCATAGAATGGAGCTGCGTTCGAAGATGAAACAATAGATTGACTCTGAGGATTGCGGCGATCCAGTTGTGAAATGCAATCTAGGGCTGGTGGCGGAGTTAGTGCTGCTGATGGTTCTGTTCGTTTGGACCGTACAGAAGCGATCAGATGACGTGGGCATTCGTACTACGAATCCAGTAACAATTGATTGCCCCACTAATCCCGTTTTTGTGAACGTTTATCTACTAGCATTGTCAGCATCACTTAACAAGGAACTCTATCAGCACACTCCCGTACTATCAGCAACACTACTATCTATCAGCAACACTACTATCAGCAACACTATCAGGAACAATATCAGCAACAATATCAGCAACGCTATCAGCAACGCTATACTAGCAACGCTATCAGCAACGCTATACTACTACTACTAGTAGTAGTAGTACTAGCAGCAACGCTACTACTATCAGCAACGCTAGTACTACTAATAGTACTAGTAGCTACTACTACTAGTTCACCAAGGACAACACAACAACCAGCAGTAACAACAGCCAGAGCACTCATGAAGTCCCAATCTTCTGCCTTTGAAGCAGCTTTGTTTGAGTTAGAATCAGATGTTGTTGAAACTTTGTTTGAGGAGGAATAAAGGTCAAGTGATGAGGAGGTTGTTGATGATACTGAGCCTAATTAAGATTCTGAGGCTTCCAGAATGCTGGGGTCAATTCCACAGCAGGATGTATTGTTCTCAATCAATTTGGGGAGAAAAAAATGGGACTGACACATCATGTTAATAGCATGGAGAAATGCTTCTGATGATACAGCAGTTAATTTTGTGAACTGAAAATAGCTGTTCATGTGCAAAGTGTCCGTTGTGGGACTGGAATGTGTTGAGTCTAACTAGTCATTTTACAGTAAAAAGATAGCCCAAAATCAATGCACAGGAGTAGAAAAACATGTAGAATGTTAACTAAGGGTTCAACTCCTCACTCTAATGGATGTATCTTGGTCCCCAACAGACACTGAACAGTGATAGGAAGACAACTGTTTTTACTGTACATTTAATTTTTCCGTTGTGCACCAATTGATAAAGCTCTTCATCAGAAAATCTAGTCCATTGTCAACAGCCAATTTTTCCAGCATACTCCACTGCACTTTGTTGTGAACTCTGCACATGAAGCCACCAACACCAATTTAATTGGAGCCTAGCAGGTTTGGGGAGTTGGCACAATTCCTTTTTTGAATAGGTCCATTCACTGGATTCCAAATTATGTTGGCCGTTGTTGTCTGAGTTTGGTCCCAACCCCACCTTTTTGTAGCATGTTTTGCTACCAGTTATACTGAAATCAGGGTATCCACAGAGCTTCAAGCTCTGTGGATTTATTGTATATGTCATCATCATTCTCGACTGGGTTATCCGATTCAGCCAGAGCACGAACAAGTTGATTCGAACATTCTTCCACAAGTTTCCA